TTCCAAGCAACAGAGGGCTTAAAGCCATGGCAGTAACACAGTGAAAGGATTTTAAGGTTTACAGACCAAGGAGCAAAGCTGAAAACTACCTGGTTACGTCAGCATGAGATCCATTTCTAAAGTCTCTGTATCATTTTGTCACCTGCATTTTAATACCTCTCAAAGAGCACTTGATACATTGTAAATATATGCACAGACAGCGCGATCATGTTCTGGCAGCGTGATTAATGCTGAAGTCCTAGGACTTTGGTTTTGAGTTGAACAAAAATTACTGCTTTCTGTTACTAATCAGGCTTACCGTAGCTTCCATAAAACGATGCTGTTCTGCACCAGGGCTCTACACTGGTATAGTTGCAAAGCCAAAGCTCCCTCTCTGCAGCAGAGCTGAAAAGAAAATGTTAGTTACTAGGGTTTTTTGTCTTTTCTCTCTAGTGTCTGCAGTGAGGCTCTGAGTTATTTCCTCACTCTGACATCAGAAAGTCATCGGGAAGCCTGGACTAATCTCTTACTCTTATTTTTGACTAAAGTCCTGAAGATAAGTGATGAAAGGGTAAGTAACTGTTTGGAATAGTATTTAAGACAGCCTTTACAGGTAAGAATTAGTTCCAGACCAGTATGCCTGACTTCAAAAGCTCCTGCTGCTCTGTAGACACTCTTTGTTGAGGGAATGTAGATTGAAACTGCACTTGACAGATACTGACAAGAGTAATACAGACTGAGGGTGCAGTGAGTGATAAAATAAAATGTGTCTGAGAAAATTTAAGGTGCTAAAATCCTGTAGAAGTGTGTGTTAAGTTGCTTTTACCCCTCTCCTGCTGAGGAAGAGGATTAGTGGCTGATATTTTATTCAAAGAAATAACTCCTGTTTCTGCTTCCGGTGCTACATGTACATCACCTTCACCTTCTCCAAAGCAATTCTGCAGTAAATAAATCCATATTTAGATCTCCCTCTATTTCTGGCTGAAATATTAAGTGAAAGGGGCCAGCTACAAAAAAAAAAAAAAAAAGAAAAAAAGAAAAAAAATCTTCCTCTTGAAGAATAAGCATTAGCAAGGAGCTGTGTGTAGCTAGTGAGCATCTGTCGGTGTACCTCACAGCTGGCTTAGCCTTATTCTAACACCGCCAGCTTCGGTTATGAAGATGTCTCTGCTTGTCATTTTGTGGGTTTCTCACCTTGACTTGGGAGAGTATTTAAAATTCTTCACTTACTTGCAACATGCTTTCTGAGGTGTATTGGTGCATAATAGGCTAATTTCTTCCATTTGCTTTCTCCTCAGTTCAAGGCTCACGCCTCGTTCTACTATCCTCTGCTGTGTGAAATTATGCAGTTTGACCTTATTCCTGAACTTCGAGCTGTTCTGCGAAGGTTTTTCCTGCGGATCGGTGTGGTGTTCCAAATATCCCAACCGCCAGAACAAGAGGCTGGAATAAGCAAGCAGTAGCAGATAGTGACTGAGTATTGCTCCGTTTAAAAGTTTCTATTCCTCAGCTAAATAAAAGGACCAGGTAGCTGAGCCATTCTGTCTGGATATCCATAAAAATGGTTTCTTTGTATGGCAGTGTGTATCCAAGGGTTAACGGTACAGATGCTTACAACTGTAATTAAGGCTTGCAACACTCCAGTCCCTTTATTTCCTGATGGATTATCTCTGTCGGTTTCTCTTACCCGGCTCGTGCTGAGCACAGAGCCAGTTTTTAGCACAGTCCTCTTGTCAGCGTGGGCTGCAATACCCTTTCCTGTCCTAGACAGCAGTATAGCAACAGATGTTTATGGCGGGCGTGAAAGTAACCTGTACCCAAAGAACTATATATGTAAAGGTTTGAGCTTCTGCGAGAAGTACAACTCAGGAGAGCTGTATTTTGAAGGATAAAATGTTTATAGTGAAAAGAAAATGGAGATTATTGTTCATGGTAAAAGATATTTAGCAACTATGTCTGATATTCTTATTCTAAGATTTTTGCACACTCAGACTGTCTGAGACATTGGTAATCATCCTTCTGTGAAAAATGTACAGAGATGCAGGTCTGTAATATAAACTCTTTAACACTATACAGTTCTTCCTGAATTGTTTTATTTCTGTATTCTTGATTTGCTGAAAACCCATAACACTTCATTGTTTACCAAATGCACTAGAAGTTTGGGTTTATTTTTTTGAGGGTTGCGATTTTTTTCTTTTCTTTTCTTTCCTTTTTTTTTTCCCGTTTCATTGTAGCCCAGAAGTTAGTGTTGCTGACTTGGCGAGAACAGAGGTAGAAATATCAGGACTGACCTAACTACCTGTAATATACTTGTTTTAGGGCTTTTAAATATAACGAGCCATTGAAATGATGATCCTTCGAGGACTGGAACTTGAATCACTGCAAACAAGTCTAGGTTGTGTCTGCTGTCACATGTTTTTTTTGTTTGATGTAGATTTCACTCTTATGTACAGAATTTAATGTTGAATATATTCAAGTAACAAATCTGGCATGGTTTGGGGATGGTTAAATTTATTGGAAATGTATTCATACTGTGAATTGTGCTCTGATGGTTGAAAGATGAGATTGTCAAGCATTCTGTATTACAATGGATGTAGAAATTTTTTTCAGATGGACAAAATGTATATGGTACAGATATGTAAAGTTTTCTATGTAAAAAAATTCTGTACAACTTTCTGTACAATATTTGGTTCTCATCTGGCATATTCTAATCAGGTTATAGGTCAATAAAGTTTTTGAACTCTTTCACCAGTGCAATCAAAACCAGTCTAATCCACAGCTACTTGTTTTGCAGTTGCTTTTGCCTCTCATGCTCTCATTTCAAAGGAACAAACCCCGGCCTGCTCAGTGCCTTTGGATTGACTAGGATGTGTCTTCTCACTGATAGCCAAATAGGAGGGTGAAAAACAATCGTAAGCTTAAAGAAAAAAAGGAAGAAAAAACCTGCTTGTAGGTGGAGTAGTCAAATAGCTCCACAGATAGAAACTCAAATACTGCATTTTGCTTTCAGGGAATTAAAACATTAATATGCAACAGACTATGGAATGAGGGTGGATGGAAGGGAAAGGCTGGGATTACAGTGCGTCTGACTGCTGACTGGGAATGCACCAGCCTTGTCAGCGTCTCTGGTTTTGTAAGTAAAAGTGGGAATGGAATTGTTTTCCTTCCAGTGTGTTCCCCTGAAACTCAGGACTAGCAAAGGAGAGAAGCATGAAGACTGAGGAAGTGGATGAGGGAGCCTCATCTCTGGGGTGAAGGAACGCGCCTCTCCCCAGTGAACTGGGAGGCGAGCAAAATGCAGCCATTTACAGCAGGCTCCAAAAATAAGGTAAGCAGTTCAATGAAATAGCTATGGAAAAGCCAGTGAAGGGAATTAAAAGGCATGACCTGTAACTCAGAGCTTTCTCATAATGTTAATTGGGGTGGAGCAAAACCAAGTTGCATTTATCAAGGTTGGAAAGGGGAGAATGAAACCTTATTGCTTCATTCTGTTGCATACTCAAATTTAGCAATGACTTTTTTTACAGCATGACCTTCTCATGCCATACCTTATTTATTGCTGAGGTGGAAGAGGCCCAACAGCTGTTTAGTCTTGGCCCATTGGACTCCTGTATCATCATTACTCTGTCTGTACCTCTCTCTAGTTCCTGTAATGCCAGAACTGCACTAGCTCTACTCTGGGTCTCATGTTCGACTTGTAGCACGAGAGACTCTGTGGTGGGGTCATAACTGTGATGTAAAAAAAAAAAATTCACCTTAGTTGCTTCAAATTATTTGGGGATTCCTGCCTCTGGGAAGTGCAGAATTGAGCAGCCATCAGGCTTGTGCTACGTGCTGTAGCCTGGGTCACGGCTTGCACTAAGCCCCCTGCATTTCTTACTGGCCACTGCTGTCATCCCCAAACTGATGAACATGATAAGCCTTTGAGCTGATGAGCCAAAAGCTCAAAATCCTGATTTGGCACTCCCTCTCTGGGAAGGAACAGGCTGGAGCCATGAAAAAGCTAAGCTCAAGAGAGGAGATGGTTGCTGAGAGAGGTACCTCAGCATTACCTGCTGTCAGCTGGTGCTGTGGCCTTCAAGCAGGTAGACAGAAGCTTCAAAGCAGCATTTGAGTAAAAAAATAAAGACATTTTTACAAGTTGTTTCTGTTTCATCATTTGTTTTTCCCTGCTGGTCAAGCTTTGGCCTCTGGCTAGGAATTCCTAACCAAGAGGAAAGCTGCTTCACCTTGATGGCTCAGTTCACTGAACTCCTAAAATCTTGCTTCCATCTAAACATCCTTCTTGCTAAAGCTCTGTCTTTTATTCAACAACTTCTCCATGTGTTTCTCCTGCTTCCTTGAAGACAACCTTAACATTCAAGTTTGTTCATGAGTAAACGTAAGCTGAAGCAAATGATAAATTAAGAAAACTGAAGTCTGCTTTCACATTTTTAGTAACAAAATAATTTATTAACTCTTAAATCGGAACCATAAATTAAATATATGCAGCGGTATCTGTATTTCCAGCACATAACAGGTTAGGGGATATAACAAACTGCCAACAGTCATTTTCCCATGAAACCATTTGCTGAGCTTTCATGCAGGACATGTATGAAATGCAAATGCCCTTCACCAAGTTATTTACTCTTTTGTTAAAAGCTTAAAGTGCACCTCTGCTGTTGGGTTACTCTCTTTCCAGACAGTTTTGGAGTCTGGCTATAAACAAAGCTAAAAATTAACTTTGATTTAATATCAAGTTCACACACACACACATACACTCTGGTTTTGTGCTAAGTCCAGCTCTGAGGCTGAAACTTGTATGAAAAGTGCAAAAAATGCCAAGCTACCCCTCTGCTTCCTACGTCATGTAATACAAAACATCCCCGCTCTATGCCTCCATCGCGCTGCAGCTTCTGCTACTTCATTATTGCTATTTTGAGTGACACACGCAGCTCCACACAGAAGCGACCGATGCCCAGAGGAGACCCTGGAAAGCGCAGCAGTGTGGAGCAGCCCCGGTTCCGCTGCGAGGGCTCCCCTCAGCCATGGGCGGTCGAGAGGCCTTCCCAACTCAGCGGCAGCGTGTTGTCAGGTGGAAGCTTTGCTGGGCTGGACTGGTCAGCCATGAGCCTTCGGAGTGTCTCTGAGGTGCCCGGTCGCAGCCAGGGCTCTGTTGCCACCGTGTCAACGGAACTGGGCCGTCTGCTGTCCTCAGCTGGAGCACGCTTCAACAGGTCATCTGCTTCACCCAAGGAAATGTTATCACCTGAGACAGAGCACAACATACATATGGTAAAGGGGACAAAAGCTTATCACATCTTACCACAACATTTTGTTATACCGAAGAGGCTTATTTGTCTGTAATAAATGCATAAACAATGCTTTTAAATTACATTTGTTTCTACAAAACACACGCGTTTGCTGTGCTGGAGAACCGAGGGAACCGAGCCCACCAGCCAAGAGCAGCCACGCTGAGCCTGTGAGGTCTGATGCCAACAGCTCCTCCCCTGCCAGATCAACACAGCAGCCAGACAGGCACCCTGGGATGGGCTGGGTAGAAGGTTCCAGCTTTCCCAAAGCCTCCGACTATAGGGACATGTCAAATCTGTCAGTGCATATAAGCATAAGAAATGGATGTACAAATAAGGCCACTAAATTACAGCGTTACGGCTAAACGCTGCTGTATAGACAGTCGCTTACTCAGGCCAGAACTCAGGAAGGGGTGAATTACTTTATCACTGGTAAACTCTACAAATGCAAGCAAGTCTGCACAGCACAGTCCAACATTGCTAATAACTCTAACGCAATCTCATGCTAAAATGCAGACTGCATAAATCATCATCATCCTGCTACAAAACAAAACACCACACCAAAAAAAACCAACCAAAAAAATGCCAAAAAAATCCAGCTTGCGGTGGTTATTATTCTGAACTCCACTGTTGTTATTTGTGCAAGGTTCAACTTCGCACCTACAACAGGACTTAAAACTGCGATGTTTTCCTCTTTAGAGCTGAGTCATGTAAATGAGGAAGTTCTGATTTGTTGGGGTTTTTTAAAGCTGGGCCAAAAAATGTTTGAACAATTTGGATGTGTGTGCTCCACCCATCCAAAACCACAGAAGTTTTTGCAGAAACATGCCCATTCCAGTAAAACATGAGAATTTTATATACTTTAGTGATAAAATATTTGACTTAAGCAATTCATGTCATGTAATTTAAGTATTTGGATGATTTTTCCAAACTTCAGTTTTTCATTCTGGAAGAAAGGCCTTTTTAAAGTTTGATTTTAAACCAAAGCTGCTCTGTGAAATGTTGTTTCTTCTGTAACAGGAAAATCTACTTTCTATCCAGCTTTAGGTTGTTTGCAGTTAGTTTTAGGGTTTGTGGCCTGTAGTTAAAATAATTCAAAAAGAAAAACAAAACTCCTAAGTTTCTTGTCAGTGACACAGAGTCCTGGCTCGTTTTCACTCTATTCGTAATAAAAATCAGTAAAGCAATTTGAATTAATTACTGTATTTTTTATCCTTAGAAAATGAGTTGGCAGTAATAAGAAGGGTTTATTCATTATATATAAGCTTATGAATTTAACCTTAATGCAGATAAAACGTTTCCTCAGTAAGAAAGACACCTAGTTATAAAATTTCTGAGATCGTCTTTTCTCTCCCTCTTATTCAGATGTCATCCAGGATTTTTCCATCAAAATTCTCTATTTAACGCTCTTAATAAAGGACATACATAAAAAAATGCATAGTGAAAGTTACAGCTGCACATGTATGGTACAAAAACGTAAGTTGAAGCGCAGTCTGCTTTCCTGAATCTTACACTCTATTTGCCACACAGCTGCAGGAGATTCACCGAAGTTCTGTCTCATTTTCCTTTCTTTATTTTCACAGCAATTCCTCCATTGTGCTCTTCTCCCCCTCTATTTATTGACGCTTGAAAGCCGATGGTCTAAGCGTGGGTGTGCGAACCCAAGCCCTGCAGACGCAGCAGCCAGGTGTACAGACATGAAGGCACGGACAGAAACTGCACAATCCCACCTACTGAAGGCTCAGTTGTCCTCTCGGTGCCTAAGGCAGGAGGATGCATGTTCCAAACCAAAATGCCAGCTACTTTTTGTTTAGTAAGAACTTGGCAGTGAATCACTAGCTCTGTCACGTCACACAGACAGTGGCGATCTGATCATCCTCCAGGCTGGGTAAAATAAAACTTCTCTATAATATTTGAAGTGTAAACAGACCGCCCTCTCTCTAGGGTCAGTCATGCCCTTTGCTTGATGCGGGGTCTAAAGCCAGCAGAGTGAGACCTCTTGGTCTCCTAAATCCTGAGTCAGATGAACTCTCCTGCAGGTTGGAACCCGCAGTTTCTACATACAAAAGTTACAGTGGTTAACAGGGGTTAACAACAGCACACGGCAGGGAAAACAATACCTAGAGAATTAATTTTCTTTTTGCTCCTTTTTTAAGAAATGATATTTAGAAACCATAAAAATAAGGGAACGTATTTGTTTAAAGACAAACAAGGCATGGATTTTCAGACAAGAGGGCCAGATTTCCTCAACTTTAAATATTATTGCCTTCAAAGGCAAAGCCATTAGAGGGAAGAACAACTTTCAGAGATAAGCACATCGCCATATCAGACTCATTTGGTGCTGCTTTTAGAAAGCACAACAGATCAGCTACAGTACAAAAGTTGCTCCATTATGCATTTTAACACTTGGTATACTCCATAAAATTCTTAATTGGGCCTCATATACAGACTTTTCTTTGGAATTGCCACTTGATTATTCACAGTTTGTATCTGGAGGCTGGGGATAAGTAGTCCTCTTTCACTCATGTGAAATACTGATTTAAGAAACTACGCACTGACTGCAGCATGTCCTGCCCCTAGATGAGAACAAACTCCTTCTGTCAGCCTGCGCTTACCAGCAATCAGTGCTGCTGCCCGCTGTAGATCAGCCCAGGCTCCAGCATTCCTTTACTTAAAGGCACAGAGTAATGCCTAAAGAGGCTCAAGCAATTTAGGCAACTTCTCTTACATATAGCAGGGTCTCAGCCACATATCTAATGTGCTCAAAGCTGTGAGAATTCTCTCTTCTGTCTCTGAGTCTGCTCTTGTTTACGCAGTTAGGAACATGCATACTTTGCCTACTGGAGAAAGCAGCTGCTGGCTTGCACAGACTTCATCGCCCAAAGTATCCACCAAGTTGATGGGAATGGGGTTTTTTTTTGGATGGGTGAAAACAGAGGAGGCAGCTTGGCTCCAATATGCACTAATTTTCCAATTAAGAAAACAATTCTGGGTGGCTTTAGGATTCCCACATCAGTCACATAAAGGGAAGTGAACCACTGTGCCAACACGATCAGCTCTTAAGATTTATCAAAGCCGGTAAATTGCCATCTCCCAGTCATTTAAAGGGAAGATAACCAGTTAGAGTCGCTTAGTTATATATTTCACACAGTTGTTTTTTCCCAGCAGTGTCTCTCAGGGTGGAGGAGAAATAACAGTCCTAGCTTTTAGGAAAGGGAGGATGCTATAAGCATTCTATCAAACCGCTAGCAAAAAGGAATAAAACCACTTGGCTTCACTCTTTTTTTTTTTTTGTAATGTCACTGGGTCTGAGAAGGGAACAGGAGTGCAGGCAGCAGTGCGGCCCTGACGACCACAGCTGAGCAAAAGGATCTCTCGTTCCATTTCCAAAAGGCACATATGCTAAGGATGAACGATAGTCCCCATGTGTACCAAAGAACAAGCTACATATAGACTTATAAATAAATAAATATATATACACACACACAAAAGTTATATATATCTAAAGGTTGAAGCTCTGGAGACCATGACAAACAGAAGGCAAACAAAATAGAAGCCGACACGATTCAAGGTGACATTATAAAAGAGGTGAGATAGAACAAGGGCAGAGAAGGCAAAGAATTTCACATAGCAAAAATGTTTGGGTGGAGTAAAATTAGTAAAGCATTTGTTTAGATTATAGAGGAAATTAATATGAATGGTTAGGTTTTTTTAGTGACTTAAAAATCACAGTGAGATGGTTAAACCAAACAAAAAAGGGATGAAGTACTTGTAAGAGTACCCATAGCAACAGAATCAGAAAAACTGTCAGCATCTGTACTCTCATTAAGTTTATAAAAAGGATACTGATACTGTAATTGCCTAGACAGCGTAGCAACCGCCTCCTAAAAAAGGGAGACTCATATGAAAGAGTCATTAGCACAGAGCGTATCGGCTGGGTCGTAATCCATGTGAGAAATTAAAGGCCATTAATGGTTGCCATAATCAGTACCTCATACACAAAGTAGATCTACATCAGGCAGTCAGCCCATGGAGCAGCTCCGAGATAACTCCCAGAGTTTGATGTATTATAAGGTCACAAGACATACATAATAAATTCAAGTGTTTGTATAGTGAAAGAGGTATCAGGATCAACCTCAAATACTGAGGTTGTTAACAAACCTCAGTTAACAAATTCATTTTAACAAACCAATATAAAACCAAAATTAACTAGAAACTGAAGTACTTCTTTATACACAATTTTTGGGCATATCTTCGTTCTGGTTGGACCCCAGACATCTGACTCCTAGGAATGCCAATCAACTCGCACAGACACCCCATCAACATTCATCAGTCAGGAGCTTCATTCCCTTCCACTAACACTTCAGCCATGCAGCTGGATATCCACATCCTACTGCCAGCACAGACACATCGCAGTGTTAGAAGTAGTGCAGACAGGAGAAGTACAAGTGGCTGATCTGACGGCAATCAGAGCATCTTTTCCTACTACCCTCCTCTAAGCTTACTCTAAAAAGCTGTGTTGAAGTTTTCTGGGGAACCTCTTGCACCAGCTACAGAACTCTATAAATAATTCCCATGTTTGAGGCAGTTGCTCACTGTTCAACTACAGGAAGTCTATTAATATTTGTTCCTTTAATTATTGTAATTACTTAGTATTAGCATTCCCTACATCATCTCTGCTACACAGAGCATACCTAAATAAGCAGACTTCTGCTGGAGCTCCGTCAGTCTGCGCAATCGTTCTTCATTCTTGCCTTTCAACTGATCAACATCGAGGCTGAAGTTCGAGTGCAAAGAAAAGCCGTCAGGCTGCAGCAACTGTGTCTGGTCTGGTGGAACGTAATCCTGAAGAAAAAAAAAATATGCACAAATCCTTCAGTTAAATAGCACATTTTTTAAAAGGGGAAATGTACACCCTCTGTATCCATACCACCCAGCCACTAAGGGACCACAGGAACTGCCTGACAGCGTTAGATCTGTGGTCTACCTTCGCATTTAAGCCAATCTGGTTATCATACATACACCACACTCCAACGCTTTCTGCTTTATTCGTCTCCTCTCCCTTGCAGAAGGTGGAGGCTGTGGTGATAAATTCACTTCTCCTAAGGCAGGAAATGTTTCCCCATTAGCACCTGGAAAAACAGAGATGAAATAATTTTCAAAGATATCAAAATATCAGTGTTCGAGACCGTTTATGTTTTAAAACAAGCCAGTATATTGTGCTTGACTTAATCACAGGAATTAGAGGAATGTATCCAAAGAGGACATCTTGCATGAAGCTAGCGAGCAATACCCAGATGCAGACAAAAGAACAAGCTACAGCAGCAATGGGTAAACTTGAAGCAAAGGCAAGGGATATCTTGAGATATATATTGAAATATCTTTTATCTAGATAAGGCATTTCATATCCCGCAAATCCATCGCCTACCTTACTTCACCATATCTTGTTTGTACCTAGACCTTTAAGGAAAACAATGAGTACTCGTTTAAACGAGTATAGTATCTCTGCTTGAGAAAGAGAACACTAGGCAAATTGGACGCATAAAAGGATACAATCACATAATAAACTACGTATGTAAATAGACAATAACGTTACGTGGAATATATGGTCATGTAATCAATGCCTTAATCACATCTCAGTTATATCTTAACTTTTTCGTGTAAGAACGCGTTAGAATTTAGTCATACAAAAATAAGTAACTAGATAAATTTGTCATCATAATTCTATCACATCACAGTGGAGGGGGAGCAGAGGGGTTAATCTGTTTCTGTAACATAAATGAACCCTAAGGCGATGTCACTGCTTCACACTTGTTTTTTCTATTTTTCTTCCTTTGCTGATTCTGGGAAGGACTTCAAACACGAACTGTTTCAAACAGATACTGTTTTTCTCTCCAGGACCAGCAACCACTGCCTGGGGGCTGGTTTATGGCTTGGTGTGGACAGTGGGCTCTGCACTCTACTGCAGTGCCTCTAGTACCTCCAATGAACAGAGCCTCCCAGAAAAAGAAAGGACTCTGCTTAACAAAACCAATCAGAATCCATTACCAACAATTACTCTTTGTGACAATGAAGTCACCTTTTGGAAAGGCTCTTAGTCTAGTATGACACATTAAGTTAAAACAAAATTAAAACAAAACTTAATATATGTAATTATATATATAAACATATATGTGTGTATATAAATATATACATATATATGAGTAAATATAGACACACACAGAGTACTGAACAAGTCTGCAGCATTTATCTGAAATTATTTGCTTTTCTAAAGAAAGATAAGGACATACAGTGACACTGAAAATAAACCACAGCTGTAGAAAGAATGGATTTTTCATTTCCTAGCGATCTGAAAATAAATTTTAATGAAATATCTTATATCATATTCATGCGTTTCAAAGATCATCAACTGAAATTTTAGAAGTAACAATTACTTTGGTTGAAAATTGAAATACTTAGCTTTGAAAAATAAATTTGATTGCTATATCAGGGAAGTTCAGAGAAACAAGACAGATATTTTTAAAAAAAATCATATTGCCAGCTGTTTTTTCCCTAGAAATAAAAATTTTATTCACCTCTCCTCTTTTCCCTCCCCCAGTTTCACCAAAGGTACTCATGCTCTTATCACAAATGTTTCGAGTAAAAAAATAAAAGTATATTTTTGAAATGGTATATGGCTAATAATTCACTTATCAGAATTCTAGTTACAAGATCAGTTGAACTTCATTATATTCAAAATAGCGCTATTACTCAGAATACAAAAATTTTTTTAATCATGTGAATTTATCACAACAGAAACAAAGTACAAACTGCAGAAGAATTTATTTGCACCTTTAGTGTTTCATCAGTGTAAGATGCTACCTGTTGCTTTAAGCATTTATCATTCAGATGCTGCTACGTAGACATGCTTTCAAATCACTGCACTAACACTAATGAATTCTAGGGCTTCAAGTGAGGCAAAAAAGGGAAAAAGAAAATGATAAACCTCTTTATTCCTGACTGCCTCAAATTTCTGAACCCTAGGAGATAAAGACAAATTCATTTGTAATGCTGACAACTATTACAAAATTGAGTTGGATTTTAAACCCACGTGAAAAAAAAATGAACAAAAAACCAGAGGGGAGTGTTATGCTCTTCTTAGGAAATGAAAAATATTGTTAAAATACACCACGAGTATTTCATAAAAGACCCTCAGACAATGTGAGCAGCACAATTCACAGAAAAAGCAGCCCAAAGTTAATGAGTTTTTATTTTTCATTTCAGGGATGGGAAGTCACCAGATTCATATTCAGAATTTTAATAGCTATTTATAAAACCCAAATAATGCAAAAGGTAACAAAGTTTTAGTTAGTGCCTACAGCTCAGTATTGGGGCACATCCCTGTCAACAGAGTCATAAATGACCTGGGAAAAAAAAAGGAAAAAGGGGGGGGGGTGGTGAATATTATCATAAGTTCCCTCCCTCACCTCACTAAGCTGCGAGAATCAGCTGGAGGGGGAGAGGGAAGAAATAGAAGAGAGGACTATAACATCATGAACCTTATGAAAGTGGTGAATAAAACCAAGGAGCACGCCATCACACGGGTGGCAGCTTCAAAACAGATGAAAGAAGAAATTTCCACACTGTGCCTTGTGTGAAGTATATCCACACAATACTGCTGATGGGAAACAATGAGAGGGATTCAAAAATGCTAATTCTGATTCATGAAAGACAATGTATTGAAGACAGCTTAGCAAGATCTATTAAATGCAAACACACGGCATTTGACTCAGGAAGCCTCTGAACTACAAGTCGCTGGAGGCTGAAAGAGGAGTCCGCAGTGCTGCTGCACGCCTGCTCCCCTCCTCATATCCTTCCCCATGCACCAGTTCTGGCTACTGTTACAGACAGGGTATTTGGCCCCATCCTGGACTGATGGACTCTCCTAAGGCATCCTTCCCTCCTTTGGTCTGTAAATAGTAAATAATATTTCCTAACCCAAAGACGACCGTATTGCAGGCTACAGAGCACCAAATGCACTGAACAAGCCTGAAAAAGCCCCATCCCGTACCCTTCCCAGCGCCAGGTTCTGTCCTGGACTCCAGGACTTGCACGTTAACAGAATAAGTTTGAATACATTTCGAATGAAAAATTCTGCTTTTAACCAAAGCCAGAGATAACAATCATTGGTCTATAGAAACATATCTAGTTTCATCAAAAAGCACTTGCAGGAATCTGCTGTAACTCCCCTACAGCAAAGAATAAAACCTTGTAAGATTATTTCCCATAGATGATTGAAGAGAATTTCAAGGTACTGTAATGCCTACTAATGGAAAATAACGCGTAGAGGCCTGAGCTGGCTGGGTTTTTTAAAAAAGAGAAGATTATTATTATTTCTAGTGACTGGAAACAAAACACATCTGAAACAGCACTTTTACATACATACATACAGAGGTCGAATAAAGAGACATAAGACAACGTGAGACACGATGCTCTATATAAAAATCTTTAAAAAACCTAAGTCATCTACTTCAGATGATTAAGAAGTGACAATGTTTACAAGTATGATGTTGCAAGTTATGTGAAATGAAGTAATGTGTGAATAGCAGTAAAGTGAGGAATTTAGAATGAATCACTATTTTGTACCCATATAATCATACTTGAAGTCAAGCATGCTTGCAAAACAAAAGAATGAAAATGAAACAAATCACTGGCTGCCCAACACTTTTATATTTCACTATGGACAGCTCGTAACTGTAAGCTGTGATTGCTAATAAATTGTTTTATTTGCTGCAGAACAATAGAAGAGCATTACATATTCTACTGTTGTAACATATTTGCCAAACTAATACTAGCTTTTCCTTAACTGAAACTTGGAAGATGTCAAAAAAAGTTCCTTGACAAGGCTAACATCCCAGTCAGAGCACAATGAGCACAGAAAGATGCTTTCTCATGAAAAGATGTGAAGTGTAACAAGGCAGGTGAGCAGCATCATTAACTTCAGGTGTGACCTACACAAATTTATTGCAGTACAATTCCATAAGGATCTGCATTTTAATTTGGAGGCATAATTTTCTAATACTTCAAAACAATCACCACAGCTACCACTGCAACTTTTAAAACAGTAATAATCATTTTAGGGACACATCATTAGACTAAATGACATGTTTGTACACTCGTAACATGGTTAAGGGGAGGTATAAACTCACCGATAAAAGCACTATCCGATTCCAACAGTGAATTTTTCAAGAACTCATTAGATTCAATCCTGAACTACAAAAATGAAACAGAAGACATGCAAATTCAGATACCTCAATATCTTTCTGGGGCGAAACTATAATTAATTTACATTAATTGCCAAACTTCTGCAAAGCAAACAGCAGCTCTACAGTGTTCTATACTATTCCTTATATGGCTATAAAAACCTATACATTTTTATGTAATAAAAGTAATAATTCATGTTCTCTTTAAGCATTAGGTTTTTTTTTACTTTTGTGTAGTAATCCTGTTTACTGAAATTGCCTACACATGGCAACTGTTGTCATGATTTGTGTAACACCAACATTTCCATCAAGAAATACATTCTCATTCCGCTTGAGTTTCAGAACAGTCAGCACTAGAACTGAGCTTTGTGCCTAAGGTTTCTATAAAGTACTGATCAAATGAAGAATGATTCCTTATGTTTCACTTATCCCACCACATACAATCTTTGATATTAAAGCATTAAAATAACAAATTTCTTCATAGTAATAACAAGCACTAAGAGTAACACTTATCCTTCACTGCATAGTTGCAACCACTTGCTATAGAAATTCTACTATAGAATAATTTATGTTGAAAACCACTCTGAAATCAAAGCAGTAGAAACTACCAGAGGAAACAGAACAAGAGAAGAAATTTTTTTACTGCAAAGCATTGCTCTGAAGAAGAATTTCAGGCAACAAATTACAAATATAAAATGCATTAAGGTGCGGGGTTTTTAATAAAAAAAAAGTTTCATTTCTGTGTATAGTTACAGTATTATCTTTGAGGCTCTTGCACAGTCTTGTGTTTTGTACAGTTTCACATTCCCATGAGACAGAATTGAACTCTGTTATTCTGTAGTTTGGGTTAGTGCAGAATTCCAATTTTATTTTGCTCCTTTCATCACGTCAGAAAATAAACATCCCTTTTGAGACAACAGATCTAATTACTGACTGCCACGTGCATCACTTAAGCCACCTAAATTCAGAGCAACTGCTTCTGGCTTGGCCTTTTCTACTAATTCCCGCCCCCAGCAGCAACCTAACATCATATGAACATAAAAGTACCACCAGTGAATATAAAAAGAAGGGAGTTGAAGAATCAAACTACTTCTACATACAAAGATAAACAACTTGTATGTCAAGTTTAAAGAAGCTGTTACTCATTGTATTGACAAGCAAGAGAAGTACATAAACTTGCTGTCTTGTAAGTTAAGTGTAATTCCTTTCTCCAAATCTGTGAAAGACACAGTATTTGTCACACTTGAAAAAGGCAAAGTAATATAATAAAGCAACTGTTTAATTCTTACCAGTCGCATAGTTTGTGGGTTACCGCCAGAAGCGGATTCATCTTGATGAACGAAAGCCACATAGACAAGGGACAAAATGGTAGTATTGAGATAAAAACAGTTAATACCAAAACATATTAAAAGTTTTATCAGCATATTATCACAAAAATGAAGACAACTATGCATTACTTCTTTAAAATTACACACATTTTAATGAATATTTTTAAAACATTTGAATGCAATATTTATTCCCATTTCATTATGTCAATTTAAGTGGAACCAGAGAAATCAAACAGAGTGCAGTAGTATATTATTTTTAAGAACATTAAGCACGTGCAAGCCCTTTTAAGGCTGGATTAATCAGTCTCTCCCAAAGAGCAAACATACTTTTCCTACTAGAGCTATATTGTTCATCACTAATAAAAATCAACAGTTTCCATCTTGTTCAAAACCTGATTTGTTATCCAACAAAAGGAAGCATAACTATTTTTGTAGCGACTGAAAACCAATTTTTTAAGAAGATATAACCACACTTCATTAAATGCTAAAATTGCACTAAATCGTGCTGAATTCTGAAAAAGTTTTCTATATTGCAACAGTCAGAACTACTTTTGTGCTATTTTACAACAATACTGTAAACACTTGTTATAGAAAGCTCACATCCAAGTGTCGACTCAAGAACGTGAAAAACATCAATTTGTGGGAAGGCAGCATGGTTTAAGCCATCAAAGCAACACATCAGGGCACAAAAGGCTGCTGTACTTGGTTCCTCTCTTTCACCCTTTTGTTTGATTTATTGATAACTTAAGGTCTTTATTATTTGAGTTACTGCATCTTAATATCTAGTCACACAGCTAGCAAGAAATATTTTTTTTCATCATAGGATTCTGCACACTGCTGAATCCTAATGCAACTGGAACACAATACTCAGAAAACACAACAGGTTAAGTAACTTCAGATGAAACAGCATTTAAACAGAAACCTATTTTCCAAAGCGTATGTAAGAAGTCAGAGTCGATGGCCTTCTTACTAGAGTAAAGATTATCCTCCCTTCCCTAAAATAAGTATTTTGGTTTTCTTGCCATCATCTTCACATATTAAATTTGATACATCACATATTTTTCTTATATTAAAAACTTTTGTGAATTTTAAAAAAAAAAGAGTGGAAGTTAATGGTATGCAGCATCCCAGTAGTTGCTAGTGTTAAACTGCGACACTTTAAACTCCATCTCAGCTCCACAGCTAGGAGACAAAAAACCCCAATAATGGAGAGAAATCTCTCTAATTATCATTTTTTGTTTAAACTTGCTATGAACCAAGTAGAAAAACAAACAAATACAGCATCAAATTTCAAAAATTAAGACAGCCAAAAATGAATTATTTCTTCTATAATTAGGGATCACCTGAGCCACGTACTTCCTGATCCCACTTGTGTTTTGCCATTTTTTTTAGTGGTCTATCAAGAGCTAGGCAGAGGGAGTCAGGAGTCTCATTTATATGTAGCGAAGCCTAACATTGCAACAGTTCTGTAGTTAAAACTCATGGGTGCTCAAAAAAAAATTTATTCTGTGTTCCAGACATCTGTTTGCCAGTAATAGGCATGTTTGTGTAGCTAAACAGTTGTATTTCACAGAATCACAGAATCTTCAGAGTTGGAAGGGACCTCTAGAGATCATCTAGTCCAACTCCCCTGCTAAAGCAGGATTGCCCAGAGCACGTTACTCAGGACTGCGTCCAGGCGGGTCTTGAAAATCTCCAGAGAAGGGGACTCCACACCCTCCCTGGGCAGCCTGTGCCAGTGCTCTGTCACCCTCACTGTAAAGAAGTTTTTCCGTATGTTGGAACGGAACTTCCTATGTTCCAACTTGTGCCCGTTGCCCCTCGTCCTGTCACTGGGAACCACTGAGAAGAGTCTGGCTCCATCCTCCTTCAACCCACCCTTTAGATATTTGTAAGTAATAATAAGGCCTCCCCTCAGCCTTCTCTTCTCCAGGCTAAAGAGTCCCAGCTCTCTCAGCCTTTCCTCATAAGGGAGACGCTCCAATCCCTTAACCATCTCGGTTGCCCTTCGCTGGACTCTCTCCAGCAGTTCCCTGTCCCTCTTGAACTGGGGAGCCCAAACCTGAACACAGTATTCCGGTTGTGGCCTTACCAGTGCCGAGTAGAGGGGGAGAATGACCTCCCTCGACCTACTGGTCACACTCTTCCCTATGCAGCCCAGGATTCCATTGGCCTTTTTGGCGACAAGGGCACATTGCTGGCTCATTGACAATTTACTATCTACCCGGACCCCCAGATCCTTCTCCTCAGAACTACTTCCCAGCAGGTCCACCCCTAACCTATACTGGTGCCATTTATATCAACAGATCTCAAGACTAATGATGTTCTCCCCTAGGTGGGACATCTCAACAACCAATTTAACTAGCAAGAACGATGCCGTTCGCTTGATATAAACTCCAAGAGATGAAATCAGTTCTCTCGGCTTCTGTCAGGGTGTACTAATCAGAGCAGGAGACTGCAGAAAGCCCCAGGACTGAATGTACCCTCAACATGCTGTCACTCCTCCTGGACTGACAACCAGCCCATTCCTGATATGCTACTCCAGTCAAGCAGAGCTCAGCACTGCAGCGCAACAACATCAAACCTGCTCCTGTGCCTTTCCTTCCTATCCCCCGAAATAGTAATTGTCCAGAAGTCTGCAAAAAACTGCCTTATTTACAGGGACATTTAAAAAAGATGATTAATTTCTCAGGATAATAGTTCCACTAATAGTCCACATATCTCTCTTTTACAGGAAGAGAAAAAAAAAGAAAGAAAAAGCATATCAGAGAAAAAACAGTATATAAAGCATGTAAAGAACACTTACATATAGTGTGGGAAAACAAGTAAGCCTTTGCCACTACAGCCTATAATACGACATTTGCCCACAGTACAAAAATCCATATTGCTTTAATTCATCTTTCTTTCTGCCTTAAATCAGACAGTAAAACCACTCATCTACTTTCAGTGAGAAGAAGATGATAAACTTGTCTCCAAGGAAAATAGACTGGAAATAGAGAGATACATGGCAACTAATTAATTCTCTTGCTCAGTACACAGTGACAGACTATAAAGTTAAATGATGTTGTAAAGCAGTAGGAGAGAGAAAGGGAGAAGAAAGGCTGCTTCAGGATCCTCTATAAGCATCAGTGGAAAATTGTTTTAAAAATCAGCTGCTTGTCTACCAACTAACCTAAATAGTCCGAGGAAATGCCTCTTTAGATTGTCACCATGTAACCCTGAATTACCTATTTAGCATTAGCATATGTCTAAAATGACTGCTTGTCCTTAAAATTAATGAAAAAAGGCAATTTTGCTTTCTAGCTGGTACAAGTTCCTCTCCAGACAACATTAAATGAAAGCCTTCTCAGACTGGCCTATTGAAAAATAGTCTAAGGGCAGAAAAAACAAAACCAAACCCCACACAGATCTCAGTTGAAAGTAGTGAATTATTTCTATCATTTCAGTCAATCTCACGAAAGGGAAGACTGAAGACAACCCTATATATTCCATTTAAGACATTAAATGATATTCAAAAGCCTGTAATTAATACAGAAGGTGGTATAGATATGCTTATTTGCAACCACGATGTTGTATTATACATAAGCAATGTTGCACACATTGCTTGAACACCAGCACATCCATCCAAGGTGGAACAGGAATCATCCTTAAGACTCACCAGGGTACCAAACAAAACACCCTGCAAGGAACTGTCACCCTTCACATCTTGGTATCAATTTTGTTAATCTTACTCACATATGGGTCTATTAACAGGTGACACAAACAAGCCTCAAAGCACAACTAGTGGTAAGAAGCGGCATTCAGATTTTCTAAAGCAGTATGGAAAGGTGTAATTCTTTTCCTTTAATATGTGTTTGGGTTTCTCTATGATAAACTTTCACCTCATGTGAAAGGCTAAATAAAGTCTAAGGAGCAATCTGAAAAGGTACTGGGTGTCTGGCGAGGGGGAGGCTGCAGGGGTGGCCTCCGTGAGAAGAGACCAGGGGCTGCCCCATGCCCAGCCAGTACCACAACAGACCTGCTGTGGGACACAGCTGAGCCCATCAGCCAAACTTGTGGTGCCTCTGTGCAAACATATATAAGAAAGGGCAAAACGAAACACAGCAGTGAGGAGTCAGGACAAAAGCGTGAGAAAAAGCCTTGCAGACACCCAGGTCTGAGAAGGAGGGGGAGGAGGTACTCCAGGTGCCAGAGCAGAGATTCCCCATGGTGGAGCAGATGGAAAGGTTCGAGAAGACAGGAGCAGCAGAGGGAAACCCATAGGTACTGACGGCAATTCCCCTCCTACGCCACTCATTGCGTCAAAGGGACTGAGCTGATCCTGGGGTGATACCAAGGAGGAGGACCAGGGGCATCAGGAGTGAAGTTGGGCCTGGGGAAGGGGGCAGGAAAGGTGTGGTTCTAAGGTCTGCCTTTTTGTTTCCCACTACTCAAAATCACCAATGAAATATCTACTTAAATTGATAATAAATAAGGTTCATTTTCCCTGAGCTGAGTCTGTTTTGCCTGCAACAGCAACTGGTAAGCAACCTCCCTGTCCGTACCTCGGCAACAAGCTTTCTTCTTCCCATTTCCCCTGTCTTGCCACTGGGGATGAGTGAGGGGACATCAGCGGGCGAGCATCTGGATGGGAGTTTGCCTGCTAGCCAAGGCTAACCCACCACAGAAATAACATTACTTTCTCTTCAAAAATTAAGTTAGGCCAGTCTGACTTACACGAATACTTTCCTGAGAAGTCTGTATCTTGTGCTCAAAACTGAGTTCACTTGTATAGTTGCAACTGTAACTTTTGGAAACGCTGAAGCGACTCTCACATTTTTAAGTAACATCTAAAATAACTTGAGACACTGCTCTGTTTCGTGACTGTTCATATAAGATATCCGAATGAACATTACATCTGGAGTTAAGTGCAGAATACAAAAAAAGGGGCATTACATTAATTTTTCACTGCTTCTGCAATATGCAGCCAAAATATTTTACTATTTTAGGTTCTTAATATTTTACTGTATTAGGATGATCTCTATCAAGCGATACAAGCAATACTTCATTCTAGAACCTTAAACTAGTTATCATATCTTACATGTGGTTTCTAAAGCAAAGCCTGTTTACAGATACAGATTTCTGAAACTTTGAAATAGTTGACCCAAGACTATCAAAATAAAATAAATTTAATCCATTACAAGGAGATGAAGGTGAAGACACACTGCACGTTAACCAATTCAGTTTCAAAGCCATCTACTTCCTCCGTGAGAACTGAAGAAAAGCCAGAAGGAACTTACCTGCTAACACTTTTATCACAAAAGAGTTTTACTTCTATCAGCTGAAGAGTTTTACTGCTCTTTTTATGCTTTACATTATGACAGAATTTCAGCATTCCAGTGTTTTACAGTTTTCTACTGCAGTGCTGACATTGAACTTGAAAGAAGTAAAACTACAGCTGGTGTTTTTTAATTCTTATCAAATGCAAAACAAATAAACAAAACCCAAAATTATCTTGGACCGTTCATTCCTTACCTTCTGTTTCTCTCCTCATTCTCATTCTGTCAAGTTTCTTCTGCTGCTCCCTCAACAGTGCCTGCTGTTGAATCTCCAGAGTGTGGTCATCTTTTGGAGGATCAGGATACATGTGCCTCAAGCCCATACGCGTTTCAGAATCTAGGGAAAAGGTATGAAATGTAAATTTTTCCCTAAACCAGCGTTTCTGAAAAACTTCTTTAAACAACTAGCTACAAAGTCATAAAACACACTGAAAATAACAGTGATAATGGCCAAGAGGACAAGCCACTTCAGCAATGATTTTACAATTTTACTATACTAAAAAATACATTTTCTGGTAAAGAAACAAAAGGTTACACAAAATCATACTGGGTGGGTAAAAAAAAAAATAATCAAATTCACTCTACTTTCAATAAAACCATAATATCAAATGCATAGGGAGTTTAAGAAGTTTAAGCAGCAAGGTCTTGAGGCTAGGTGAGTGCTCTGACTGATAACTCAGCATTACAATGCTGTAAATTGTGTGCACTTGTAGAAATGGCCACAGAGAGAGATATACACATATACAAAATGCTGTCCACAGGGTATGTTGTGTATGGATGGTAGCTTTGAAGAGGCGGATTTTTATTTTTTGTCTTTAAATCCTGGGTTGCGTGGAAGATGGGAAGAAAACAACAGATGTTTCACTACTTATCTTCATCAATAACAAGATCTACCTGCCTGTGTATTTAAGTTCATTAAATTCCCAGATATTCTGTATATTCACGGGATCTTGTGCATCCTTTGATGAAGGTCGCCGTACTGGAGCCTGCAGACGAAGCCTGGCCATATCAAATACGTCCTTTGGATTCTTCTCTCTCCTCCCGCTTGAAAAGTTTATAAAAGAACATAATTTACCACTGTAATACGAATGAGTTCATGGAAATATAATACTGACAGAGGTCGCACCTTTTATCCTTAAATAAAGTGATCAAAACAGGAAAATAAATTTGAAAGTAATGACACTGCATACTGTGTTATAAAAAGGGATAACCTACTTAAAAAGCAAAAAAAACCCCTCATACTTTATGGAGTGGAACTAAGACTGATGATCTAATGAGTCTTTTCCAACTAATTGGTATGATTAACTAACTCATTTTGGAAGTAAACCAATTTTTTTAAATAAAAAGGGTATGATTTTCAATAAGAAAGTACTTCCACAGGTGGGTAATATTCATAAGCATATTCATAAGCATATTCATCAGCAGTACTACTGCAGTTTACAGACACAAATTATGCCCAAGGAAAAAAGATAACGAGATAAAATTCTGCCTTAGACATCTGCTTTGGACCACTCTCCAAGACAGAGTATTGCAACTTCCAATCTTACCAGTACAGCCATTCTTACACTGTTTCCAAGATTCTTGGAAAAACTCCATATGCTTTGCATGAAAGAAAATTTTATATACAAATTCTATCCTTATACTTTCATTTTACTCACATATATTAGTCAACTAATACTAGCTACTAATACACAGTATCTTTGAGCTCCCGGGCAAAATCTAACTCTTAAAATTGAAGATGAAATTCTTACCGTGTAATTGGTATATCATCATCACTGGCCACATTTAGCAACTGTTCCTGCAGTCGCCTCTCTTCACTACGAAGCTGTTTCCTCATCTCTGATAACTCATTTATCACATTCTTTCTTTCCTCTGGAATTTAACACAAATAATTTAAAAATAAAGAATGTCAGAGACACTTTTCTGCCTACCTCATAAATGTAAGGTGAAAAGAAAAAAAAAAGATGATGAACTGTTAATTAAAGAAAGGATTATATAAACACAAGAATCCAAACATTTCATACAGTAGAAATTAGGTCAGAGCTTGTATTTTGAGACAGCACAAGGACCAGATCCCCTGAATGGTAGAAAGCATATGAATTTCAACAGAAACATTTTGCTGCATTTAAAAGAGGAAAAGCTACGAAATACCAACAAGTGGACACTGCCAGTAAACAGCCTTATTTTGAAATTAGCAAATCTACACTGTCCTCAGAGTCCCAGAGGCAGACGACAGGAATTCAGGTGGTATCAGCAAGCACACAACGTCATTTCTTTTTCCTGGCTCAAAAGTGGGATATCTGTCTGCTCAGTGCAGACTCTCTTATTAAGTGTTCAAGAGTTCTACCTTCAAAACTTATTTTTAGTATGTGCTTATGTTGACTTTTTAGACCTACTTTCGGCCTAAGCTGGGTTTTTTTTGTGGTTAGGAGGGCATTCCTCCACAAGTTAAAACAGTTTCATAAATACCTTATTTTCCAAATAACATTCTTAATAATTTGATATTTTACTAACTTTTAGTCTGAGTCCAGAACTTAGCAGGCAAGCAAGTTTTACTAGCTTAAATCGTCAAACACAAGATTTAATTCATATGCCTGTATTTCTCTCAAGATAGATGGTCTGAGTCAATCGATTTCCGAGAGCTGCATTGAGAACCACTGCCTTCCATTTAGCGGAAGAGCCATAACTCCCCAGAATGGATCCAGGTACTGACTGCTGGGGGCTAGCATTTGTAGGACATCATTTACTGCTGTATTCCATGTGTTGCGTCTTTTATACTTGTAAAAAAGAATCAGAAGAAAAATTACTGCTTTCCACCCACTTAATGCCAAGATAACCAACATATAAAGAGCAAAGAAGATCCTCCCAGCATGTCTGAATTTTAAAACAACCAGTGAAAGCCAAGAGAAATGAGCAGAAGATGAGGCAGATTAACAAACAAAAGCAGAATTTAAGAGTTAGGACTGTAATGCTCTACACATAGTTGGTCTAATCTATTACTCAGCCAATCCAAAACTCTCCCATTGTGCAATGTTCTGGTCACAGTGGTCACCACTGTCCTGGCTGAAAGATCCAGCACTTCCCGTGCAGACTATTCCACCACCAGAGTTTTTACAAAAAATATTTCCTGACAAAGATACATAATAAATGCATTTTTATTTTTTATTAATACTTCAGACATACCAAACTAATACACTGATAATACTGAGACAGAGAGAACACCCACATAGAAATGCAAACTTTATAAGACTATTCCTTTGCAGCCAAGAGAACTGTAACTGGGACCAATTTTATTATAATAGAAAGTGAGCTTGCAAAAAAGAAAGCTTGCAATACCTACCAAGTGCGCGCAACTGATTTCTTCTAGCAGGGACAGGTGGAGAAGGAACCCTTGGTTGTGGAGGATCCTAGTAAACATAATGAATATGAAATGTTAATATGTCAAAGGAACAAAATATAGCAGACATAAGTACATTTTATTTCCTTATTTTATATCCAATTTACATTAACTACCACTACTACTGGAAGACAGAATAGTAACCTTACAGGTTGTTAATGCCCAAGTTCTTTTCAAATCTGATCTTGAAATGCATATCTAAATTACTATGATAATACCTATAATGCACTATTCAGAGATCCAGACTATACCAAGTACTGCAAAGACAGAAATAAACTGACCTTTCTCCACAGCATTCTTAACATTTAGGGAAAGCAACAGTTTTAAATAAGGTTGAAAGTCTTACTTAAAAATGTTTTCTGAAACTGCATTATAAAGTATTTTGCCAGATTACCATTTTCACGGCAAACTAATTTTTAAAATTTTTAGCCCAGTTCATACACAGTTGGTGTAAAAAAAAACTCCGATAAAAAGTCAGAAGTGTAGCCTGAGATTCAAATATCATAGATGATTATTTAATCTACTCTTCACAGGAGAAATGTATTAAAAAAAATAAATTATCCCAGGGAGGATGAAATCAAGTGAAAGAAATGAGTGGTCTCAGGACCACTGCTGTAACTCATTTGTGATGCAAAGCAGAAAGTGAAGTGTATTGGGAGTTATAATCTTTTTGTACCTTCAAAAACAAAGATAAAATAATAATGTCTGTAGCTAGGAATCAACATGAAACTTCATGCCTGACCTAAGTTCTTCTCTGAGTGACCACAATGAGCTGCTAGATTAGACATAAACTTCATTAACCTTGTCCTGGTTTGAGGTAAAACGGAACCAATTTTATTCAGTAACTTTGCTTCTTAGCTGGGCCTCTCTAACTACTGAAATTAACAGCATATTGTGCAGACAATGTTCACTCCCTCAGGGTAATAAGACCAATGTTTATAGCTGATGCCCAGGCATGGTGTGCAGAGAGGCTCTTGCTTATACCTATTGCTATAACACCCAAGGCCAACCAACTTTGTTATTGGCCCTGTTGGAGGGTCGGAAGCGGAAAAGCATAGTGGGGTCCCACCTGCAGGGAGGAGCGGACAGGACAGGTGACCCAAAACTGACCAACGAGGGTATTCCATCCCATCTGCCTCATGCTCAGTATAAAGGCTGAGGGATCAAAGGGTCATCTCTCTCTTCCTCCAATGGCTGACATCTGAGGACGACTCTGTTCATCTGCCTTTGATCCCGACCCTGAACGCAGATCCGGAATCCAGTTCCCATCTGTCACTGAGTCCAGCCTGGGACTGCCCCAGTGCCAGTTGGTGTCTTGACTGTCATCTCGGGAGTTTGATAAGGTTTTGTATATATTTCTTTTTTTTTTTTTTAATTTTATTATTAATATTTCATTAAAGTAGTTTAGTTCCTTCTAAACTCATAAGTCTCTTTTTCCTCCTCTGCCCCTCTCTTTGAAGAGGGGTAGAGGGGAGCATCTGTCGGTCCCATGTGGGGTCCCCCAGGTTCCCAGTAGCCGATTTGGCCTAAACCATGACAATCCTAAAACTTGAGAACACAGACAAATGGGGTCTGGATAGAGTATGTACCGTCATATATGGGGTACTCATCTCTACAGAAAATGCGCATGCAGAAAAAAAAATAAAACAACATACCCCAAAAAATTTCTTCAATACTTTGAATAAAAATTTAACATTAAATTTCAGAGCTACAACACTGCTAATATAAAGACTGTCACCAGTTATTTGTGGTATTCCAGTAATAACTGGCAATCATTCAAAACCTAGTAGGATTTCATACACTGTAGAGTCTTAAATCAGTAAAAGTTGACTATAAAAATCATACTTGTGCATAGTAAGATATATGGCTCTCAGCAGAGGGAATCCTTTCTTCTTTTCTTATTGATTTGTTCTGAAGAGCGGGAATGATGGTTGTTTTGAAAACTGCAAGGAGGAACACAAGACTGAAACTACCTTCCTATGGATTCTGAATGAAGTATTATTTCGGAAATCAAGACTATTCTTAATATTTTTCATTTGACAGAAAAATCCTTTTGCTTATCTTAACTGAATTATTTTTTTACTTAATTTGCTTTCAATTGCAAAAATTATTTCACGTGATTTTTTCCTATACCTATGTTAATTTTAATTTTTTTTCTATTATGTATTTTTTTTGTAATTTATTACGGCATGTAGAAATTTCTAGAAGAGAAAAAAACAGTTCTATAATATACTTATATTTTGTCCATCAGAATTCTATGTCAAGGACTTCTTACATCATTCAGGGCAAACAAAAATAATTAAATTAAAGAATATCATTGTTAAAGATGAAAGTCCTCCAGTCCTCTAAATTACAACACTTTATTTTTATTTGTATTTGGACCTCATCAAAAGCAGGCCACAGTACGTGACAGTAGATATAAAAATCAACTATAGAATGCAGCTTTTTCTTATTTATCTTGTTTTCACTATTTTTTAATGCAAATTTCATCAGCAAGATAAGTTTCCACTGTAGCATGTCTGATTTTTCAATTAGCTGTTCTCTGTGAGTGCATTAAGTGTACCATAGCTTGATAAACTAAGAGGGGAACAACACTGAAGGTAGAGGTCTAAGAAATCATGCACTTTCTTTAAAATTCAGTTATTTTTTAATGTTAGGAAGCAGTATTTCTATTTTAGAAAGTCACTGATACATACCATCTTCTTTTCCTCTTCCATCTTTTCTTTCTCAAAATATTGTCTAAGTTGGTCATCCTTTTCTTCTTTTTCCTTTCTTCTTTTTTCTGCCTCTTTTTGCCTCTCTTCATCTAATCGAATTATTTCTTTATTTTTCAATCTCCGCTGTAACATAAACATTATTAGTACATAAAAAAGACTCAACATTATTAAAGTTTTGCTTTGTTTTTCTTTGAGAAGTTAAAATTACACATCAAAGTGATTAGTCTGAAATGAAAAGCATATTTCATTAGGCTGACTTCAAACATTCAAATTAAAAACTATGCCATGCAAATATCAAACATCTGCAGTCCTGGCTCTGCTAACATCATTTAACAGAATTTGTAATAACTTCAGTAAACATCAGTTTGTGTCCCCAGATCTGCTGCCAGTTAAGGCTAAACTGTAGGAGTCATTTCCAAAATTTCAGACTCAAACAAAACATACTGCAAACATGTACCATCCTATCACAAGCCCACAGAGAAAATGATCATCCAGTCTCAATTTTAGTTTTGTGTCTGTGAAAAGCGATGATACCAGTTAGCTTCCTACTCTATACTAGACCAGCTCTATTATCCAGTAGACAAGACTCACCCAACTAACTTGCTCTTACTAGGGAAGAGAATCTAGAATATAAGCCAAGTGTTCTGTATTAGAAAACAAAGTCCTACATCCTGAACTGATCTTTCATAGTCCCGCAGGGTACTGAAAGACTTTTCCATCTCTGATGGCCTTGCGTCCTTTTCCTACAATTATTTATGAGATTCAGAATTATGCAAATTCATTCAATTGATGATAAAGCAAGCTTTTGGGTTTGAATTGAATTGCAAGTCTACCTCCATGAAAAGTATTAATTAGATTTGCTTGGCATTCTTCCAAAACAAGCAGTATTCTCATCTCAAAGACATATCCTGGCCAATTCAAAAAAAGGCTTTAAGAAATATGCCTTTACAGCTACATTCAGAATACAAATAATTCCATGGAGCTAGATTTAAGAGGCTAACAAACAAAAAAAAAAAGTTTAATTCACCAATTTGACAAAGCTTTTTTTTGGCCTCACAAACAATTTCCTTTAGAAAGGACAGCACCATGGGCAATTATAAAACTATATAATTTGTCTTAGAAGAATTAACAGTACTTCAAGTTGGTAGTATACCATAAAGAGTGAGAAGAACATGCTAGTTAGTATGGACAAATTTCTACCTCTCCTCTGGCAAATGTAGACCCATTTAAAAACAAAGACCAATTCACAGGACAATTCTCAATTTACCTTCTTCATCTGGAGGACAAATATTACAAAGGGTTAGTTTAAGATAAAAAAAGTCAAGTTATCAAAATACTGCACCTCCTCTTCTTTCTTTCTTTTCTCTTCTTGTTCATCTTCATATGCTTTTTGAATTCTCATCCTTTGTTCAGCTAGTCTTTTTTCTTCTTTTTCTTCTTCCATTTTAAGTTTTTCTCGCTCTGCTTCTTCCCTACGTCTCTTTTCCTCGATCTAGAAAAAACGCAAAGAAGTATCCCATTGTCAATAGCCCCCAATAATCTGATGAACAACACTTACCATTGCGATCTTCTACGGACATTTGCAGTACCTACTTGTGCAATCAAAGATTACATGGAGCAACTGAAATAATTCTAGGGCTAGAGTTACATTTCAGCCTCAGAATTCCTTTAAAATGAGCTGGTATTTTGCTATTTCTTTTTGACCACTTTTTACTGAACCACCCTCCAGTAACAACTCTAATTATAAATGCTACTCATAAAACCTGAATATTTCCTAAAGCTTACTCTATTCCAGATATGCTGGAATAACCCTTTTCTTCACTGATTAAATAATGGAAGATGGGAAACCAAAACAAAAAAGACATAGCAATTATCTTTTCCTTTCCACGATTATAATGTTTTCAGACACAGCAGAGACTTACTGAAGCCAGAGGTCTGCCCATTCTTTATTCTTTTTGGCAGCGCTATACATGGAAAAAGCCTTGATCTTTTCTTTTTAAGAGATCCACATCAAACTACCGTATGACATTTGTACTCTTTTAAATTACCTAGGACTTCCTTGATATAGATATTTAATTAAACTGGTATTTAATTCCAGTGACATAAGATTATATGCAAAGTATTATGGACAGAAGACACAAACTGGTAGAATAACAATCATGTTTTATATACCCATCAAGAAATAACTACATTATTATTGTCTCACTGATCACCATTCCACTGCGATGAACATGCATTTGTACCACGTAGCCTTACCAAGGGCAAACATCTTGGTTTCTTTACATATTTATGTATGCAAACTTGTACTGTATACACAGTTTGAGAGTTCGAATACTGTATTTAGAGAGTTATACTCGGGAACAAAAAAAGGACAGAATCTAGATTAATGAAGCCAACTATTAATAGCATCACTTTTATAGGCATTTCTTATATAAGGCAAAAATCTGAAACTCAGTAGCATATAGCTCAGTACACATCTTTTGTACAGAATTGGCTATGACTGGATAAGGTCTTTGGTCAGCAATGATGATTTTCTCTGACTGTAATCTCTCTTTTTTAATATGCATTTAACAAGATAATAACTGGTGTGTGCATTCACCTGTAGACGAAGAAAGTTCTTGTACGACTCTTGTCGCTTAAGATGCTGTGGAGATGGTGGTTCACCAAACACGTTACCTCGAGCAAAAGGAGAGGTCTGTGCAAATGTAAAACCTAAGGAGAAAGAGAGGGGAGAAGAAGGAGGGGGAAAAAAAAAAAAAAAAAAAAAAAAGAGTTACAGATAAAAGTCAAAGCAAACTAAGGCAGCAAGCCCAAGTGAAGAAGCAGGAATCTGAGACACTTATTTCAAAAGGTAGTTTATGGCAGCAATAATTCAAGGGTATAGCTGAAAACAATAGCAATGATTAAAAGTTACATTGTCTGCCTAGAATACTGTCAGGTTTTAATTGCTTAATTGACAATGTCCAAGCCAGCTGTCATTTTACAAAACAACACCTATAAAAGTCACATATTCCACTGACCAATCTGCCGGTTAATATCTAAAAATGTTACCTCTAAGTTAATTCAAATAGCAAAGATTTTACATCTCATAACTTCTCTGTTTGCAATTACTCTGACTTAGCACATGCAGTTCTGTTCCTTAGGTTTATAAACTTGTCAAAACCAAAACATCCTAACAGAACAAATGTTTAGGTAAAATAGCAATGGATCCCACAAAAACCGAAGGCCAAAAACGGCAAATAAAATTCTAAGCACTCAGAACATCGAATTTTGCCGGTGTAAGGTGCCTTCCACACTATGACTTTTGAAGTGTCAGGTTTCTCTCAGCTCAACCTCCGCCCCTGTATTGGAAGGAGCAACACTGAGGAGAGGTTACTAAGTTATTCTCAGCCCCGAGTTACAACCATACAGTCCCCAAAGCTCTAGAAAGGAGGATTTGCTCAGATGCTACACAGAACAGCTTTTGTAGAACAGGATCGTGAAAGGAAGTAGAGGAGAACGGAAGTAAGAGAAGGAAGAATGCTGCATTAATTTTTCACCTGACACAGCATGTTCTTCATTCATATCATGTCTGCTTCAAAGGACAGTGCAAGGATGCACAAGAGCCATAGCTCCACTGAGCTGAACACAGCTGTAGCTGTTTTCATGCTTCCCCTTTACTCTTCCCTATATAGTGATGTACCACCCAAGTCAGATGAAAGCAGAAATAACACGTACACTTATTCTCATAGGAATGCATACGCTTGCTGCTACAACCTCGCCTTAGAAGCATGTGCTTGCATACCAAGGACTACACTTTGAGGTTAGTGTTATTTTTCCTTACATGGAATCACTGATTGAATCCTTCCAAAGTATAACTAAATTTATATGTGGCTCTTTCAGGATGGATTTACTTCACTCAGGATATATTCTACACAGAAAGTCAGAATAAAGTTTACATACCATTTAAAAGGCACGGACACAGGACAGACAAGTGGCTATGGAACATATTGAGGAATGAACTTACTGTGTACCAGCTACTATCCTGCAAGTTCCTCTTTAAGGGAATGGTGTAAAAAACCAACCAAACAGGAAAAAAACCCAAACAACACACACAAAACCAAGCAACCAAAACCTACACAAAGCCACTTTACTGCCTGACTAATCAAACAGAAGGTGCAAGACTATGAAGTTCCCATTGCTGATCTGCACCACCTTCTGATCCCAAAATAAGTGATCTGATGAGCAGGCTCTTTGCTATTCCGCATTATTGCTTTATCGACCTTGCCTGTTTCACTCCCTGCTAAATGGTTAGATATACAGCATATTAGGGAGAAAGAGCAAGAGGGAGGACAGAGGGAAGAAAAAAAATTATTCTACAACCAGTGGTCAGGACACTGAATTGGAATCTTATGACGTAGATCCATGCCCCAAATACCATGTAATTCTTTTACACAGAAGTGCAACAGTTCAGACAGGTGAAAGAAAAGCAGCACCTAAGCTGACTTGAGGAGTCTCATCTAAATGAGAGAACTGTGGCACTCCAGACCTGTCCCCAGTTTGGGACGGGCAAGGGTCAGGATTGGTGATTTGGGGCATGGATTTGCTGATTATCACCAATCCTGACCCTTGCCCATCCCAAACTGGGGACAGGTCTGGAGTACCAGAGTTCTCTCATTTAGATATCTCACAAAACATAAGAAGAGAGAGAAAGATGCGCTAGTTTTTAAATAGGAAAATAAAATAAAATCCCTAAAACGTGGAGGCAGTGCACAGGGCTGCATAAGTACCCAGTTTACCTGTAACTTTTTAGAACTCGTTAACCTAGTTACTGTACCAATTTAATCTCAATCTATAATGTCATATATCTGCAGACCTTCCTCCTGCTTTTATTCTATCATCTCTCCTACTATACTCTTGTATTTTACTGTATCATTTAAGAGTAAAACAAATGCGTATGAAGATTTGATTTGACACTGAACTTGGAAAACTCATGTACTGATCCTGACTGTTCAGTGCTAAAACAGTTATTATCCATCATAACTGACACGACAAATAAGAAAATACATTAGCAGTGCACACAGTGACAGCAATGAAGAAGTTTGGGAAAGAAGCATAATACTGACTTCACAGATAGAGAGCACTAACACTATCACAGGACTACAAGAAAGGAGTAAAGAAACTAGAGAATTTTGATTACTAAGACCTATAAATAATTAGAGCTGTAATACAGTATTCTTAAAAACCTGCTATTTTATTTGTAGATGCTTCTGTGTTCTCAGGTCTTGGGGAGGCCAAACTTAGGTCAACAGATACAATAGCCCTTTTATCTTCATATAGTCTTGCCTCTGGATTATGATATGCATCTTCGTTTTGCTTGTGCATCATATTCAAGTCCGCTAAAGGAAAGGGGAAACAACTGTTTATAATATTTTATTCTCATAAAAGGCACGCTCACCATAGATTCTCAAAAATACAGAGATTTTAGAGCTGACTCCGCTTTTCCTGGGCATACCAACTATGGGAACAAAAAATTTAAGCAAAGACAAGAATATAGAAACTATAGGTGAAATACTAGTCATTAGGAATTCACTGATCAAAAGATTTGTTTGTTTTCTTTTGCCAGGAATGATTCTTCACAGCAAGCCTCCCCTCTCCCCCACCCAAAAATGCTACAAAATCAAAAAATAAACAGCTCAAAAATGACTGACAAGTCTGTGTTGACAGTCATGTATTTAGACACCATTCATTCTTCTTTTTCCTTAAAGCTGTAAAATACTTTCGAGTTTAGTATTGGTATTTTAAGTACTGAATCTCTATTTGATTACTGTTAAGGGCAACAAGCACAATGAACCGTTAAAGTGTATTTTGGTCTTCATGTCTTCAGTAATAATCCAGGTGCAGATTTCTGTATGTAAGCAAAACAATGTCATCCAACATTTTCACCAAGATTTATGTGGTGCCTCTCAGTTACCATAAAAATCCTGACCAAAGATGTAAATTTCAGCTCATTTTGAAGTATTCACCATACTACACCTAGAAGGCTCATTTCAAAACAAAAAAGTACTACACAGTTTTCAGATTAACTTTAAGTAGTGTTTCTGATAATTATGAATTACTGTAGTCATTTACGCACAAGGATTCCAAAAACTTTAAATTACATCCCTCTCTGTAAAGCAGCTTTTGCATACATCAGAGTCTCAAAAGCTATTTACAGACATTTCAAGAGGATAAAAAGACAAGTGACACTGCATAAAAAAAGAGACATGGCAGAAACAGCATGTAATGTTTCACAACATTTGACTCATAGCTTATCCATCGTGCTGCCAAACTATGGTGGGAAAAATGACTTTACATGGGTAATTCTGGAAAACAGGCTAAGAAACTCCTTTCTCTTGGTTCCTCATTTACAGACAGAGATAAGCATCTCAGGAGGTATATACAAAGCTCAGGCTAATGTAAGCGATCTAGTTGGCGAGTGAGCCCACAAGGGAAGGCGCCCTGCTGGACCTGTTGTTTGTGAACAGAGAAGGACTGGCGGGTGATGTGATGGTTGGAGGCCATCTTGGGCATAATGATCACAAGATGATAAGAGTTTTCAATTCTTGGAGAAGTAAGGAGGGGGGTCAGCAGAACTGTCACCTTGGACTTCTGGACGGCAGCCTTTGACCTGTTTAAGAGCCTGGTTGACAGAGTCCCTCGGGAGGTAGTATTGAAGGGCAAAGGAGTCCAGGAAGGCTGAACATTCTTCAAGAAGGAAACCTTAAAGGCGCAGGAGCAGGCCGTCCCCATGTGCCGAAAGACAAGCCGGCAGGGAAGACGACCGGCCTGGCCGAACAGAGAGCTTTGGCTGGAGCTCAGGAAGAAAAGGAGAGTTTATGATATTTGGAAAAAGAGGCAGGCAACTCAGGAAGGCTACAAAGATTGTGTGAGGTTATGCAGGGAGAAAATTAGAAGGGCCAAAACCCAACAAAACTTAATCTGGCTACTGATGTAAAAGACAATAAAAAATGTTTCTATAAATACATTACCAACAAAATGAGAACTAAGGAGAATCTCCATCCTTCATTGGATGCGGGGTGAGACATAGTGACAAAGGATGAGGAAAAGGCTAGAGTACTTAATGCCTTCTTTGCTTCAGTCTTTAATAGTAAGACCAGTTGTTCTCTGGGTACCCAGCCCCCTGAGCTGGAAGACAAGGACAGGAAGCAGAATGAAGCCCTATAATCCAAGGGAAATGGTTAGTGACGTGCTACACCACTTAGACACACACAAGTCTATGGGGCTGGATGGGATCCACTCAAGGGTACTGAGGAAGCTGGCAGATGTGCTCACCAAGCCACTTTCCATCATTTGTCAGCAGTCCTGGCTAACTGGGGAAGTCCCAGTTGACTGGAAGGTAGCGAATGTGATGTCCATCTACAAGAAGGGCCAGAAGGAGGATCTGGGGAACTACAGGCCAATCAGTCTGACCTCGGTGACGGGGGAGCAGATCATCTTGAGTGCCATCACGTGGCACATACATGACAACCAGTTGATCAGGACCAGTCAGCATAGGTTTATGAAAGGCAGGTCCTGCCTGACTAGCCTGATCTCCTTCTATGACAAGGTGACCCGTTTAGTGGTCAAAGGAAAGGCTGTGGATGTTCTCTACCTGGGGATGGGTTTACTCTTTGCTGGGTAATAAAATGGCTGGATGGCCAGGCCCAAAAAGTTGTGGTGAATGGAGGTAAATCCACTTGGCAGCCAGTCACAAGTGGTGTTCCCCAGGGCTCACTACTGGGGCCAGTTCTGTTTAATATCTTTATCAATGATCTGGACTAGGGAATCAAGTGCACCCTCAGTAAGCTTACAGACAACACCAAGTTGGACGGGAGTGTCGACAT